GCAAGTCAAGTAATCACAATTTACTTATTCTACAAATATTTTTTAGTGCTTACACTGTGTCAGACATTGTTCTAGATGCTAAAGATACAGTATTGAATAAAACATACAAAATCTCCTGCTTTCATATAGAATCAATATATTTTGTTTTGTACAGTGAAGAAAACCGTCAAGAAAACAAAAAGACAACCTACTGAATGGGAAAAGATATTTGCAAATGACATTTCTGATAAGGAATTAATATCCAAAATATATAAAGAACTTACATAACTCAACACCAAAAAAAACCCCCAAACAATCCAATTAAAAAATGTGCAGAGGACATAAATCGATATTTTTCCAAAGAAGACATATAGAGGGCCAACAGACATGTGAAAACAACAACAACATTACTAACAATCAGGGAAATGCAAACCAAAATCACAGTGAGATATCACCTTATACCTGTCAGAATGGCTAAAATTAAAAAGATAAGAAATAACAAGTGTTGGTGAGGATGTGGAGAAAAAGGAATCCTCGTACACTGTTGGTAGGATGTAAATTGGTGCAGCCACTATGGAAAACAGTATGGAGGTTCCTCAAAAAGTTAAAAAGTAGAACTATCATATGACCTAATAATACCACCCCTGGATATTTACCCAAAAGAAAACAAAAACACTAATTCCAAAAGATATATGCACCCCTATGCTTACTGTAGCATTATTTACAATAGCCAAGATATGGAAGCGACCAAAGTGTTCAATGACATGTGAATGGGCAAGGAAGATGTAATATATACATACTTTGGGATATTACACAGCCATAAAAAAAGATGAGATTGTGCCATTTGTGACAACATGGATGGACCTACAGGGTATTATGCTAAGTGAAATAAATCAAACTGAGAAAGACAAATACCATATGATTTCACTCATATGTGGAATCTAACAAAAAAACAAATGAATAAACAAACAAAAAGCAGAATCAGACCTATAAATACAGAGAACAAACTGATGGTTGCCAGAGGGGAGAGAATGGTGGGGATGGGCCAAATGGGTGAAGGGGAATAGGAGATACAGGCTTCCAGTTATGGAATGAATAAGTCACAGGGATGAGAGGTACAGCATAGAGAATATAGTCAATGATATTATAATAGCACTGCATGGTGACAGATGGTAGCTACGCTTGCGGTGAGCATAGCATCATGTACAAACCTGTGAAATCACTGTGTTGTACAGTTGGAACCTGCTAGCCCAGTTACTAGCTTTGTGACCTTAACAAGTAAGGCCCCAGCTTCAGCAACAGGATAATAATACTAAGTTTATATGGTAAAGTTGAGGACTAAGTAAGATATAATGTTTAAAAAAATTTTTACTCTGAGCTCAGAGTCACGGGGGAGAAGGACACATAAGCATTAAGATAAATTTCCTACACTTAAGGAACCCATATTCTAGGGGCAGAGACAAAATTTAGACAAATGAAACAGGTGCCAACATAACACAAGTGATAATTAGGGGAGAAATGGTGTGACTCAGACTTGGACTATGCTCATTTATGAGAGGATTTATGAGGGTGAAGATAAATGGGAAGTGCTTCCTATTGGGAGAGTACTTTATGTCAGAGAGGCAGGATCTGGAGGTAGGGTAAGGTTTAAATTCAGAAAAAAGGGGAGGGCATTCATTCAGTAAATATTTAATATCACCTCTTGAGTACCAGGTATTGTGCTGGGTGCTACTGGGGAATCCTGGGAGATTATGGGGGGGACACTACAGGAAAAAACTACCAGCAAGAATTCTGCCCTCGTGGCACTAAACAGAGCATCCAGTACAGATGAGTTCAGATAATGCATTGGGAAACCCTGAAAACACAACAGAATAGACCTGAGGCACTTTAGGGATGGCAGACTTTGGATATCATCTAGTTCAGTGGTTTTGAGGCTAAAGATCACTTGAGAGAGCTTTTTAAAAAGTCCCAGACTCCACACAGGGGATTATGATTCAGTAGGTGTGAGTTAGGGCCCAGGTATGTACAGTTTTTTTAACTGCTCAGACAACTGTGATGGTCACCCTGGTTCGGGGAACACTCATCTAACATAGGCTTGTTTTATAGAAAAGGGAACAAAGCCTAGAGAATTAAATGATTTGGTCAGTGTAATTATATTTGGTGAGGTAAGCAATAAGAAGCTTCTGTGGAATCCTAAAGAGGGGTGGGGCTCAGAGGGAGAAAGGAGGACAATAAAGTGGTATTTACAGGAAACAGATTGGGAAGAGAGGGAGAGGTGCTGACTAGGATGTGACATTAATCCAAGATTGACTGAAACCTTGTGGTGACAAGAAAAGAGATCCATATGAAACTACCTCCTACAGCTTTCCAGGTGTTACCTGTGAAATTCTGTAGCACTCTTCATACCCTACTGCAGCTATAATACAGTAAGCATTGCTACTTAGAGTGGGAAATGGGTCTTCCAACCAGTAGCAATGGCATCATCACCTGGAAATCTGTTAGGCAGAATCCAGGGCTCCTCCCCAGCCCTACAGAATCATAATCTGTATTTTAATAAGATCCCCAGGCGTTCCAAATGCACACTAAAGTTTGAGAAGCACTGCTCTAAAGGGCTTCCAATTCTTTAGAATGAGAGCAACATTAAAATAAATAGGAAATAGATAAAGGTAAACAATTTGTGATTTCAAGCATAGGATGGAGTTGGCTTAATGAACTGAGGTAGACTCGCCAAAGTCACTTTTAGCTACCGGATACACTGTATCTCAAGTGTTCCAAGAGTTCTAAGAATCTTTCCTCCACTGGTCTGAGGCAAAAGTCTAAAAGTTTATCAGTTTAATGATGGCAAAGACTGCTAGACCCCACTTGAGTAAAGAAACTGAGTAACTGTTAACTTCTCATGGCCTTAGGGTCCTCATTTGTAAAAATAACCAAACAAAACCCAAAAATGCTGAATGATCATTTCTCCCAGCTCTAAAAAGTTTTTATTTCATTTCTTTTGAGAGAAACTGCCTTCTTCTGCTCCAGTAATTTAAAAAATATTAATGCTTCTACAAATAGTTATTAATAAGCTAAGAACTCTAATAGAAATTGATTTCTTCCTGGATGACAATCCAAGGCTCTGTAAGGAGGGGTAATAATGAAAGAAGAGGAAAAAAGAAAGGGAAGGGAGAAAATACACACACATACACACCAGGTTTACTTGTTTTGCTTTACTTGATATGTTGTAGACTATCTTGGCAATGGCTTGTTAAAAGTTACTTCCCATTTTTTTCTTTTTAACCCGTACTAGCCTACCTCATATAACCTTGCCACCGCCCCTACCCTTCGGCTCTCGTCCCCCCGCCCCCTTTTTTACACTGAGTGAAGGAACAAGGAGAGCCGTCAGATACCAAATTCACCTACTTCTCAGTTGTGCTGTGTCTGGGAGAATGGCGGTAGAGTTGAGACCCCCTGTAGCCTTGCGAGTGGAGAGCTGCTGTTCCTGAAAGTCCTTCTTCTCCCCGTCAGATTGGAATACTTCCACAAAACTGATTAGGTCAATTCCCCTAGCATTCCGCTCCTCCTCATGGAAAGTGTTGTTGCTCCGCAGGTTACTACAGTGTAAATGTCACACAGTACTCAGCTCAACCTTATTCCCAAAGAAGAGGTCCCCAGTCAACTGGCCACTCCCAAGGAACTCTCCAAGGTTCCAGGATGTGGACGTAGGAGACAGGGTTCCTGACGCAGCCTGAGACTAGCAAAACCTCAACAGGAATTCCCATAGTGACCCCACGCCATCAAGTGTGAGGAGGCAGGGCAGGATTCCTCCATAGTATTCACGTTTTAGGGTTTGATCAGTACTCTCTAGGGAGGAGCAATGGAACCCTAGCATGTTAACGACTTAGAGTTTCTAAACACCTCCGCCACCAGTGGAGATCCAGCCGAGGGTTCTGAAGTGAAATACCTCAACAGACCGACTTGGAAGAATTAATATTGTATTCATAATAAAGGTAAACTCAAAACCAGATACAAGTACAGTAAAATATATAAGGTTTGTTCTTTCTCGATTCATTCCGACTCCATCACCAGCTTCCTATTTCATATGAAAACGAGGCTAATTTCTAATTTTAACAGCGTTTTCCTCCCCTCTAGGTGCAGGTTTTAAAATAGCAGCAAATTTAAACACGAGAGAATTTAGGCCTATATCAAGAACATCACTTGATAACAGGTATCTACATATAAGCCCAGTGCAAACAAAATGGTCATCAACTCCATTTTTTTTTTCCCCACTAAAAACGTTTCATTGCCTCCCAGACCTTCGTGGTCACACTTTCCGAAGAAGAGCGGCAAAACCTCGCTTACTCTGTTTAGAGAGACGCTCCGGGAGAAGCTCGCGCCACAAGTCCCCGGACAGGTTGGCTGACGACAGCCAACCCCTCCCTCAGGCAGCGCAGTTCTCGAAGGCATCAGCTCCGCGCCTGGAACCTCGGTCCCGCGGGTTCCGATCGTTTCCATTCCGGCCCCCATTTCCCCTCTTGATGCCCCCAGTGCTCGTCCCTGTCCCCAGATCTCAACGTCCCCCCCCACACTTCCCAAAGCACAGACACCCGTCCGTACCTGCGCTTCCTCGTCCTCCGTCATCACCCCGACCACCGGGATGTGGCGAGTGCTCCTGGACCTGATCTTGCCTCCGGGTTCCTGGACCTCGGCCGTCGCACCGGCCCCCGCTGTCCACATGGCTGCAGCGGCGGAGTGAGGGATGGAAGGAGGGTCCTTCTGTCCTACCCTGTTCCCGTTAGCTGCAGGACCCAAAGAGACCCCGCCACCGAAAAGGGAAGGCCGCCTGAGAGCCGCTACAGTCGCGAAAAGCCCCGGGGGTCCGACAGTGGCCCCGGCCACCGCGACGCCAGCCGCATCACCCGGCCGCAGCCCACCGGCCGACTTTGGCTCTAGCGGGCCGGCCGGTTGTTAACAAGCCAGCGCGTTGCTAGGGGCGGGGCCGGGGCTGCAGAAGCGCCGGCTCTTACGGAAGCCCCGGGAGCCAAACTACCTCAAACCCTAATGTGTGTCTCCACGCTCGCGGTGGCTGGGTTTGCTCGCGCGCGGGAAGGAGGCAGTAGAAGACTTCGGTACGTAGTAGTGGAGTGTTACCTTGGCGTTACGTGTCTCAGTCTTGCTAGTTTGCGCTGGGCCTTCTTAAATCTCCCCTGCTAGAACCTCCAAACAAGCTCTCAAGGGCCTTCTTAAATCAATCATGAGTGGGTGGAGAAATGAGAGGTGGATGTCGGACACGAGAGTGATGGATGATGGATACATAGTGGTAGAAGCGGAGCAGTTTATCGTCGCGGAGAAGTGACCAGTGTCACCGACATTCCCTGCCTTTTATCTCTTTTGTACTTTAGTGGCTCTACCAGACAGTTAAATAACAAACAAGGTATTGTACACAGTGTTACGGGCTTTTGAGTCAAATCATGGAATCTAGAGCAAATTAACACAAGGAAGCCCCACTTTCCCCATCTTTTCTCGTCAGTTTTTCACTTTTCTTACCAATAGGATTGCTGTGAGAGGGTAGTATGAGATGGTAGTTTTGTAAAGCGGTGCTTGGCATTTAATAAGTACTCAGGTAAATGGTCAGGATTATCTTTATCTTTATTATTGTGTTATCTATCCATCGTATCCTGAGTAATGACACAAGAAAGGTCAAGACTTTAATGGAAAGCTGCTCATGATAATCACCAGTATAACTTAATCACCCCCAAAGCCGTGGCTATGAAAACATATCTTAAAATCCTTTAAACCTTTCAGTCTTTTTTTTTTTTAGCCTTCAGAAACTCTTCAAGATTTAAACGTGAATTTTTATATTGTCTATAAAGTTTATAGCCTTAAAAATTACACGTAACAAACTTCGTAAAAATTTCACTTCACCTCCCAGCATTTCTCTCATTTGTAGAATGAGCTGGTTGGTCGGTGATTTCTAAGGTTCCTTAACCGGTTCAAACATCCGACATTTGACTGAATGACATTTCTGGTGGTACAAATAAAAAGAAACAGAAAAACTAGATTGGGCATGGAAGCACTTGATGTAAATCATAGCCAAAGGAACCAAGCTTTTTTGAAAGAGAATTGAGCATTTCTAGTAACTATTTCCTCACTTATGTTTATTCTTCCACTTTCCTCATCCTAGGTTCCTTGAAACTGCCCTGAGGTCACCTACACTGTGGTCAAGGTCTGTGGACACTTTCCTGTCCTCATCTTGCTGTACTTAATCTCTAGTATTTTACCCTATTGACCACTCTCCCCTCCTTGTAACTCCCTTGCCTCGACTTCAGCATTCTTTTTTTCTTTTATCTTTACAGCTACTCATTGGTATTTTTAGAGCTCCTCTCAGACCTTACAACTAGAGGTGGGTTCAGTAGGTCTAAGGTTGCTATTACTCCAGGAGAGTGTAAAGGGTGTGTCAAGTGTATTAACGTCAGCTAAATTGCTGTTGCACATTCTGAGTATACCACATCAAAAGGAGAGACTGAAATCACTTGAATAAACACAGTGGAATTCTGTGAGAACGGCACCCAAATATAGTATAGTAATGGAGAGCTGACAACTGGATGATTTGGTTATCCTTTGTGTGTTGAGCCTGGCATCTCAGAAGGAAAGATGCAGAGGAGGGACTGTGAAGAAAAATTTTCCACTTAAAGCAGAGCTTATTTGGTGGTTATCAACTGACTATTGTGTTTCAGCACAATAGGCTGATTCTGATAAGGGTCCATAAACCTCAGTGACTGGAAAGTGACACTCTCCTCATTGGACTTAATTGCACTTTCCTGACACACAAGCACAAGGATATTTACTTTACTTCAATTGTTTACAAACCTGTATATTCATTCTGTCCTATATCCAGAGCACCAGTTTCCAATGCTTAATTAGCATAACTCCCATGAGCTTCCCCTTTCTAGCACTTAAAAACTCTTCTCCGTCTCAGTGAAATCAGTGAAATTCTTCATAGAAATGGGTTGCCTTACCTGGGAAGTTAAAAGATCCCAATTTTGTGTTTTTTTGTTTTTTTTGTTTTTAGCTCTAATGGTATTTGTTTTACTCTGTGAGAGGCAACCAGGTGAGAAACAACCAACACTCCACATTCAAGCCATCTTGAATGAATTATTTGTTGTTTTACAAAGCTACCAAGCTTTTTCCTGCCTTACCTTTGCATATGTTGTACATGGGACTGTCTGCAGATGTTTAGCTCCCTATGAAACTCAGCTCATGTGACTTTGGGGGGGGAACCTTCTTTACATCCTCTGTTAGATGCCACTTTGTCATATGGTTTTGTACTCACCACATACTTAGTGGTATTTATTGACTCAGCTGCCCAACCCCTTCCTACTAGAGACTTTTGAAAGCAAGGAGAACCTCTTATCCAGATTTGCACCCCAAACCCTCAGCACAGTATCTAGAGTAGTGTTTCTCAAAATTTAGCATGCATCAGAATCATCTGGAAAGCTAATTAAAACCAACACCTGAGCCCCATCTCCAGAGTCAGCTTCAGTTAAGTCTGGGGTCCAAGGGTTTGCACGTGTAACAAGTTACTGGGAGATGTTTTGCTCCTGGTCTGGCGAATGGTACTCAGTAAATGTTCATTAAATTATAAATTCGTTTTTAAATTTGATTTGAAGCCAAATTAAAGCATTTCATAAGCTATCCAGAGTAAGGTAAACACTAAGTCCTTGTTACTCAAAATGGGGTCCTTGAACTATCTACATAGGCATTACCTAGGTGCTTGTTAGGGATGTGTAAGTTCTGGCCCCAGGAGAGACTGAGTGAAGCAGAATCTCCATTTTAACTAGATTGTCAGGTGATTAGTATGCACATTAAAATTGAGAAGCACTGGTCTAGTGTGTATGTGCTTGTGTTTTCATTAGTATTATTTTGGAGTTTTTTTTTAAGATTTTAATTATCTATTTGAGAGAGAGACAGAGCATAAGTGGGGTTTAGAGGGAGAGGGAGAAGCACACACTCCACCGAGTGGGGAGCCCTTCATGGGGCTCGGTCCCACGACCCGGAGATCATAACTTGAGCCAAAGGCAGATGCCCAACCGACTTAACTTTTTGGTAAGTGCACCAATTAAGCTTTTAAAAAGCTTTCAGTGGGGGCACCTGGGTGGCTCAGTTGGTTAAGTGACTCTTGGTTTTAGCTCCGGTCATGATCTTGTGGTTGTGGGATGGAGCTCGATGTTGGGCTTTGTGCTACTGTGGAGTCTGCTTCAGATTCTCTCTCCCTCTTCCTCTCTCTCACTTTCTCTCAGGTTCTCTCTCCCTCTTCCTCCCCCTTAAAAAAAAAAAAAAAAGCCTTAAGTGTTTGAATTAGGTAGTGGATTTAAGTTTAATCATTATTCATGGAACCTTCTTTAATACAGATTTCTGAAGGCTCTAAGTCAGGAGCACAGGACATTTTCCAGACACCAGAACACAAAAGGATGTAAAGGTAAAATGGCTAACTACTGAAATGGTAAATTATTTCAACAAAAGATAATAGTAAAGAAACATATGAGAATTAAAATTAGAGAATAGAAATGCTTCACTCTGATAACAATTTTGCAGAATTTAACATCTCTGTTAAATTACAAATTGCAATTTCTTAAAAGCTGTAGATTGAAGATTAGACATTTTAATGATATGTTGACGTATATACATTTATTTTTTATTTTATTTAAATTCAGTTAGCCAACATATATTACATCATGAGTTCCAGATTTTTAACTTTTAAAATAAAGTATATTTTTAACATAAGTGTAATATTAAGAAATAACATTGTCCTTCTGATATTTTTTCTGATACTTGTTTGCACACTGCCTAATTAGCAATGTTTAGTAAAATTATAATTATGCATTAGTACAACTTAAGAATGTTTCTATTAAGTATTTTAGATTACATATGAATTTTGTAGTCTCTAAACTCATGCCAGATGTTCCAAATGTTCAAGCAAATGTTATTCCTTTGTGAGTCAGAGTAATCTATTTTAAACAGAGAATTTTTATAGCACATAAGAAAATGTAATTAGAGTATAGTCTTAGTAGATTAGCTTTAGGGGAATTATGTAACAGGAAGAACACATATAAAGCTGGAATTTCATCTACTTTAGTGTTTTAAAAAATCTTTCAGGTTGATTGTTACAGAAACAAAGCCTAAGAGAGAAAGAAAAGTAATTGCTTCTTTCCAACAGAATCATTAGTTCAAATCTGGGAGTAAGAAGTACATGCAACAGAAAACAAAAGTAAAAGAACAGCCACCTCTGAAGTCAACCATTCTAATAAAAAATGTACTAATAATCCAAATTGCAAGTGATTTTTTAAACAGGAATGTGGAGGAGCTATTCATGCTTAATGGAGAAACTAAATCAATGGTAATATGTAAATGAAACAAATTTATGGAGCACTTCTTACCTGATCAAAGCTTCAGTCCCATGACATAGGAATATTCCATGAAATGAAAATGCTCTCAAGCTTTTAAAACTAAAAACTATTGTATTTACATGGTGGGAGGTTAGAGGTAGTACCCCCAGGATAGAACCGTCTTTATTGTGGAGCAGGATTAAACAGATAAGTTTATTCCAATAACATTAATTATTCAAGGTCTATAACTGACTTGACCTGCTCTGATTCCATAGGTTCTATATTAATTTGCTAGGGGTGCCAAAATAAATATCACAGACTAGGTGGCTTACACAACAGAAATTTTATTTCCTCACAATCTGGAGGCTAGAACTCCATGATTAAAATGTCCAAGATTGGTTTCATTCTTGAGGCCTCTCTCCTTGGCTTATAGATGGCCATTTTCTCCTTTTGTCATAACATGGTCTTCCCTCTCTGTCTTTATCTCCTCTTCTTTTAAGGACGCCAGTCATCCTTGGATTAGGGCCTACCCATATGAACTCATTTTAACTTAATTACCTCTTTTTTTTTTAAAGATTTTTTATTTATTTATTTGAGAGAGAGAGAATGAGAGAGAGAGAGCACATGAGAGGGGGGAGGGGCAGAGGGAGAAGCAGACTCCCTGCCGAGCAGGGAGCCCGATGCGGGACTCGATCCTGGGTCTCCAGGATCATGACCTGAGCCGAAGGCAGTCGCTTAACCAACTGAGCCACCCAGGCGCCCAACTTAATTACCTCTTTAAAGGCCCTATGAATTAATATGAATTCTAGGGAGATATAATTCAGTCTGTAACAAATCCCAGCATACTTTGGTTTATAATATAAATTCTTATAAAGAACAAATTAAAGAATATAATATGCTTAGTTAAGGCAACACTGCTATCCTTACCTGTAGGACATTGATTATTTCTCACAGTGGTGATAAACGGCTATTCTGATTTAACAATCACTGTACATTTGATCAACGTGAATCTGCCCTTGGGAGATGTATCCACTCTGAGCTCTCAACCGATCTGAATTTTGAGCCTGAGTGCCTGACTTTGTCAAAATCATCATTTATGTCATGTTTCATTTTCTATTTGAAGAATCCACTACCAAAGTTAATTTGCCAGCCTAGGTTCCCTAGAGCCTACCATAAACAAATGACAAACATTTACCTGCTGCCAATTTAATTGGTGGCACTCTCTCTGGGAAGCAGGTCAGGAAAAGGTAGAAGTGGAGGCTGGCAAATATAGGTGTTACTGAGCTGGCCATAGCTTTGGAACAAATGCAGTTTAATTAACTGCTCAGTCTTTTATGATATTTTCATGGAGGCCTTAAGAATTACTGCACTAAGGAACAGCTTATCTGGGGGAAAGGAAGGGAGAATTTATGCACCAGCTCCCTCTTGTGCTACATCTCTATGGTCAAAGATTACCCTCAGGTCGTGTTGCCAGATTTAGCAAACAAAAACAAAAAAAGTCCCATGCAATATTTGTAATAGAGTTACATAAAAAATTATTCATTGTTTGTCTGCATTTCATAATAACTGAGTGTCCTGTATTTTACCTGGCAACCCTACTCTCAGGACATTAACACCCATGCATTTCCTGGCAGCTGCGGGGCAAGCTAGAGCTTCCCCAGATCCCGTGCACAGGCACCAATGTCCGTTTCTCCTCAACACAGTGTTGCGACGGTGGTGATGGTGGCCAGCAGGCAAGGCAAGAGGTAGAGACAATGATGGGGAGGGGTGTGGGCAGGAGGATGCAGGCACAGCCGCATGAAGGTAGGGTGATAAATAACATAATTTTCTCTAAAGATGAGTCAGCATTCATTATCTCATTAGTATCTGTGGAATCATCCTGCATTAGACACTGGGAATATACTAGTGAATAAGATACAGTTTTTTGCTATCAGGGAGCTTAGAAAATATAGCTTGACTATTATATGTTGAGCCCTGGTTTAAAGATACTTAATGAATGCTAGTAAAATGAAATAAATTTTTTTTTTTAAAGATTTTATTTATTTGACAGAGACACAGCGAGAGAGGGAACACAAGCAGGGGGAGTGGGAGAGGGAGAAGCAGGCTTCCCGCGGAGCAGGGAGCCTGATGCGGGGCTCGATCCCAGGTCCCTGGGATCATGACCTGAGCCGAAGGCAGACACTTAACCGAATGAGCCACCCCAGGTGCCCCGAAATAAAATTTTTTAAAGTCTTTTTTTTAAGTACTCTCTGAACCCAATGTGGGGCTCAAGCTTACAATCCCGAGATTAAGAGTTGCATGCTCCACGGACTAAGCCAGCCAGGTGCCCCTGAAATAATTTTTAAAATACTACCTCATTCGGTGGGTATTTTCCTAAATGACTATCTTGGCAAAAACAAACAAAGAAAACCTCCAAAACCCCAAAACTATTACATGTATTGCTTTCTAGATACTTCTACAAAGAAATAGATGGTCTCCATCAAATATTGAAATAATTATTCAGTAAGAAAGAAAAATCCATTTGTATATAACATTTCAAAAAAGAAGTTAAAACACATTAAATAACACTTTTTATTTAGATGTTCATAAGGCATATCTATGAGAATGATATAAAAACATGGCATGTAATTTGATAGCAATATTTTGGAGATTACAGAGTTTTAACAAATACCCATTACACAGTTATAAAGAAGACGGTATTTTTCCAAGCAGATACAAAATATCTAATGAAAGATCAAGGCAAGAAAATGAGTATAATTAACAGTGGAAAATCAATTCTAATGTGAATCGCACATTATCCTTTAAAAACTTTTAAAGGTAAGATTTACTGCAATCTAGTTCATTCAAACAGTGTTAAACAGTATCACGACAAAGAACTGAAGGCCAGAATGGATTTGTTTTGACTTCATATAAAGAAACCCAAATATACAGCAGGTCAAATATAGGAAAAGGGAGTCGAATAGTGAAGGAGTCAAGATCTTTCTAGTTTCTAACTGGCATTCCTTCGGGTGTGGCCTTGGTCCTCTTGGACATTTGCCAGGCCTCCTGTTGTATCCACAATTCCGGCAGCAAGATGGAGGAATGAGATAAAGAACACATGCTGCTTTTCTTTGAAGAGACTTCTAAGAAGTTACTCATACGTCCCCCTACATCTCACTGGCCAACCCTCAGTCCCATTGGGACACCTAATTGCAAGGGCAGTTGAGTAATGTGATGGGCAGCAGCTTTTCAAGAAGTAGGGTAACCAGACATTGGGAGACAACTTCCAGTTCCTCTGCAGGCTGGATACCTGCAAAGCTATGAAGGACCTTCAAGGAAAATCTTAAGAGGATACATCCTTGAAGCTGGCAATTTGAAAATCATACAAAAGCACCTGTTTTGGTGATTTAATTTAGCCTATCCAGCCACTGGGAGAATCCTATATGTATAGCCTGCCCTAATTTTGGATGACTGCATGATGGAAGGCCAATGATTTGGAAAATTAAAAAAATATCAGTATGTATGTGTGTTAGGCTGAACTAAATATTGTTTTGGACAGAATCTCTGAATATTAGCACTTTATAATTTTCTTGCATTAAAAAAATTGAAGAACCCATTCATTCCTGTAAAATTCACTGTTCAAAGGTAAGAACAGACTGTGTTTCCACGAAAATCAGTACAGGTTCATTTAGAGCAATTACATATACTGAATATTTACTTATGAACAATTGAGGGTGGAGCATCTATCTCCTTTTCATGACAACACATCACAAGTAGAAATCGTAACATGACTGAGGCATGTTATACTATGTGTAGCAATACTTTAGATCAGGAATTCACAAAATAATTTCAACACCAAATTTTAGGCTGTTTGAATACTTATTTCAAAACAGAGATTCTATAGACTGACACAGGTTCAATGTTTAAAGTATTCCTAAAGAAATAGTTATGAGTTACATTTATGGGTACTTCATTTAAAATATCACATAAGAAACCTGCCATTTCACAAATAAACCTCTATTTGGGGGCAAAACTCTTCGTACAGAATTTATTATGAAACAGTTTAATGGCAAAAGGCAATTAAAAACAATTAAAAACAATTAAAATTTTATCATATTATGTAAGAGATAAACAATACAAAAATCGGATATGATATATATTTTTTTAAAGATTTTATTTATTTATTTGAGAGAGAGAATGAGAGAGAGAGAGAGAGAGCACATGAGAGGGGGGAGGGTCAGAGGGAGAAGCAGACCCCCTGCTGAGCAGGGAGCCCGATGCGGGACTCGATCCCGGGACTCCAGGATCATGACCTGAGCCGAAGGCAGTCGCTTAACCAACTGAGCCACCCAGGCGCCCCGGATATGATATATTCTTGAAGCCCTTTTACACAAATAATTTTCATAATTTGTAAGCATGAATATACCTTAAATTACTATTATCAAATTAATTTTGAAAGTAAAATTCCTTAATCAAGTCAAGATTAGGCTAATTTATAAGAAATTAATCAGGTAGCTTAATACTGGAGCTCACTAGCCAATCCTGTATGTAGCACAAAATAATTATCTCCAATAAATACCTATAAATATAATTTCTTCATACTTTAAAATATTTTAAAATTTAAATAAAAATCTCTACATGTAGACAATCTGGGCTAAATTTCCATATATGCTTTGAAAAATATATGTTAGCATGAATATAATCTTATTTAAACATGGTTTTAAATATTCTTAATAGAGGAGACATATGAAATCTGCACACAAACGCTAAATAGCATGATTCAGCCCATGATTATTTTCCTCTTAGGAAAAAATTACTTAGTTTTTTTGCATAGGATTAAGACTGGGTATATTTTCTACATTCTTATAATTTTCTCAGGGGCACTTCTCAAAATACACATCAGGAAACAAACCGCACTACTTGAAAGTTCCCACCACTTTCTCATACCTAGCAAGAGCAGAATTCAGTCCTACTTCTGAGGCCAGAGTAATGACTTAAAAAAAAGTGATTATGAGGAATAATGAGTAAGAAAAATAATCTGGTAGAAAATGGTAAAATAAAGCAATTAAAAGTCAATTAAATAAACAAAAGTCAGTATTTCTGTATTTTTAGAAAGGCTTTTAAACATTTAGAATTATAATGAATATATTACATTTATTCTAAAACTTCAAAATTATTTCATCTTTGTAGTACTAAAAAGGAGATATTATCATTTGAAACAAAAGCTACATCCTATATACATTTTCATAAATTTTGTTTTTATTTTCACATTTTCAAAGGCCCCATTTATCTGTAGTAGTGATAATGTTATTTATAAATGATTATTTTTTTTTCAAAGATTTTATTTATTTATGAGAGAGAGAATGAGAGAGAGAGAGCATATGAGAGGGGGGAGGGTCAGAGGGAGAAGCAGACTCCCTGCCGAGCAGGGAGCCTGATATGGGACTCGATCCCGGGACTCCAGGATCATGACCTGAGCCGAAGGCAGTCGCTTAACCAACTGAGCCACCCAGGCGCCCTTGATAATGTTATTTATATTATTGGCTACTTAATATACACATGCAACAATATAATTCAATAGTCATCTAACTTTTAAGAATATTTCATTGTATTTTTACATTAACTGGTGAAAGCATGGTCTTGAGAGTGAAACTTGAGGAGCAAATATTGAAAATATGCTGTTAATTTCAGTAATGCCCTACAACAGTTTATGGGTATTTCCCTTTAAAAGTTATCACCCAACTGAATTCCTACTAAGAACTAGCAAGTAAGTGATTATCAAGAGGGAAAGAACAGAATTAAAATAAAGAAAATGGAGAGCTCAATTAAGAAGTACAAGATACTTAAAATTCACCAAGAAGAGAACACCAGAGAATCATGAGTGATTTACCAAATTGACAGGGTGCAGCAGTAGGGAAAGAGCCAATGGTGGGAAAGGTAGCTTCCACTAAATAAAACTCCTTCTATGGATGCCTGGGTGGCTCACCCGGTTAAGGGTCCGACTCCTGATCTTGGCTCAGGTCGTGAGATCAAGCCCCCCATTGGGCCCCTGGGTGTGCAGCCAGCTTAAGATTCTCTCTCTCCCTCTGCCCCCACACCAAAACTCCTTTTATTGTGGCTGCATTCAGTAGTACCTCAGTGGGTAAGTTTAGAAAAGTAATAATTTCAGGATATATAATTACATAATGCATACTTGTATCTTATCTGCAACTTTCTAGTTTAATAAGGAAAGAACAAATGGGAAAAAAATGTTGGGCATTCTAATCAAGGTTTGAACAAAATGCAGTTTTAATGTGGAATGTCAGCACTAAAAAATTTTATGAATAATATGTATGATTATTATATCTCGAGTAGATTTATAATTAACCACTTTTCTTTTTTTTAAAAAAATATTTTATTTATTTATTTGACGAGAGACACAGTGAGAGAGGGAACACAAGCAGGGGGAGTGGGACAGGGAGAAGCAGGCCTCCCGCGGAGCAGGGAGCCCGATGTGGGGCGCAATCCCAGGACCCTGGGATCATGACCTGAGCAGAAGGCAGACGCTTAATGACTGAGCCACCCAGGCGCCCCTAACCACTTTTCTTAATATCCTTAATGCTTGCAAACTGGTCCCTACTGAATGGTTGAACAGGCAGGAGGACTTCTCTGGAAGAGAAAAAACTCTACAGGGATTTTTAAAGATTCTGTAGGACCTCAGCCATTCATTAAAACTGCTATGGTCCTATCTCTCCTGGAGTCCCTCACTGCATAGGGAATCGTATTGGACCACCATGGGTCTCCAAGGTCATGTCCCAGGCAAGATCCTCTTGCAAGGTAAGGAACTGTAGTTTATCCCACAAGCAATCATAAATATATGACTGTAATATTTTCATAAATTTTTGATACCCACAACACACTGTAAAGAATGTCAATGCCTTTACTGACCAAAGAGGAAGCATCCAGATTGGCATCATGGTAACGCATGGGGACGGAGCAGGGACCATCAGCCTGGCGGTTAAAACTGGAGCCTCTGAAATAGGACTGCCTCGACTTGAATGCTGGCTCTGCCTCTTACTAACTGCATGACCTTGGGCAAATTACTCTTCTAACCTGTTTTCTCATACGTAAAATGAGGATAGTAACTACCTCTGTCGTGGACTTGTTATAAATATCAACATGGGATAATATAAGTAAAGTGCTTAGAACAGTGCCTGGCATGTTACCATCCCTCAGTGAACATCAGTAAAATCTTATAGCAGATAAAAGTGGGGTCTGACCAACGTGCAACAACATAGATCAGCTGACAAACAACTATTGGTGGGTAAATTTCACACCTTCCCTCTAAGTGGAAACAACTGTAAGATTCCCAGGCTTGGTACCATATTAGAAAAATCACTTTTGGAAGCCAAATATCATGGTCTTCTCCCTAACTAACATAATAACAGGCAAATGAAACTGCTCTGTAACAAGATAAGGAATAAAATCTTTCATGAGGTACATATTATCAGTATGCATTTCATGTCTCCATTGCATTTCAAATATAATTTCAGATTCGATTTTTTTTTTTAATTTGTGTTTGTTCACAGATCACACTGGTTCATATAATTAATTACATTCTTCAAAATCGATCTTATGAGAAAAATATAGGAATGTTACCATTTACCCTTACCTAGATGCTAATGTAATGTGACCTTTCTTAAAGTTAATGTGTGATTATGCATTTCTATTTCTTGAGCTGGATAACAATGAAAACCTTAGGTAAGCTTCAGAAAAAAAAAAAAAACACATATCCATTAAATTACACTAAAACTTAAAATTCTGCTGGTTTTTTTTAACATTATGTTGTATCTATATTATTAACCAGAAATATCTTTGCCTGATTATGGAATACAGTTTGTTAAAATAACAAGAGTGTTATGGTTGTGCAAAACAAAATGGACAAGCTGACAACAAAAATTCATATTGCCAAAATACGACATCTGTGAAAATTAATTTCAAGAAACTCCTACCACTAATTTGGTTGAGATCTTACTGGACAGATTTCAGCCCACATCAATTTGACAGTGCACTTGCAAATGACATAAAGAAAGTCATAAAAACAATGGCATGAGTGGAACTCTACATGGCATCAATGAAGCACCATTTATCATCACATTACTGTAACCCTCTCCGGTGAGAGATGAGGGACTGCTCCTCCAATACCTTCTTCTAGAAATTGGCTCTTTTCCCAGCCTTTTTTAATTCTCTTTAGCTTTCGGCTTACACATGGAAGGAGTAAAATGATCTTACCCAGAATTACAATTGAGGGCAAAACAAGAGCAAGAACGAAGTTTGGTGGGGTGTAAAACCGGTAGTACTCTTCTTCAAAAGCTCGTTTCCATCCATAAATTAAAACATGGAAAGTACTTATGAGCAGAGCGACATATCCAAGTGTAGACTTGGGTAGAGGAGGAAGAAAAAGAAACAGAGAATAAGGAACAAATTATTCAAACTCATAAATTAACCTGTCCAGCTACACCATACTTACAGTGTGCTAAAACTACTTTATCTTAAATTATTGAGCTACTCTTTGTTCTCTACTGAATTAAACAATTTTAATATTTCCATAAATTTCATATATATTTATTTATGTGTTTGCACATCTTATTTTATACAAATAAAGCCACACTGCATATAGTTTAATACTGATTATTATATCAAGAACCTTTTCCTTATGTCATTAAATATGAAAACATGACTCAAATGCTATGTAATATTCTATTGAATGGATGTGTTATAAATTACTTAATCATTCCTTTTTTGTTGATCATTTACTGTTTCCAACTTTCCTCCACTATAAGCCCTTTTCTGTATTTTGGTTTATTCCCTTAGAACTTATTTCTAATAGGGGGATTACTGGTCAAAACATCTGGGTTTTCCTTAAGAGTACTGATGAAAACTGCAGAACTTCTTTACAAAGGTTATCCACATTTCCACCAGTTATGTGTATTAAAAAATATGTGTATATATGTATATATATTCACATATATATATACATATATAATAAAATTAAGTGCTGAAAAGCATTCTCATTGGGTATACGCTCCCCCCACACCCTGCCCCACATATATATACTAGCTGGAGGTAAATATGAAAAATCTTATAGTATTAGCATGTAATATGAATAACATTTCAAACATGTGGTTTTATTGACCACATTAAATGAAATTATTAAGAGTACTTCCATTAAGCGGTTCGTAGGTGAAAATCTAAAAGGTCAGCATTCTGGGCTCCCTAAATTACTACGTTTGATCGCTTACTTTGAGAAATGGTCTCTGTAACATTACATCAGTCTAATGATGTAATGTCTAACTTCACTGGGAAAGGCTCAACTCTCTAGCAGAAAGCTGTTCTGTTTTGCAGTTACTCATCTCAATTTAATGATCACTTGCACCCATCTAACTACCTTTTATCAGAGGGCCTTCTATTTCTATTCAGGTGTGATTAAACTGACAGTTGGAAAAGTATTTATGTTTTCTTTCCTTCAAGAAGGAAAAATGAATTCAGATAGGGAGATGCCCTTAACTTGAATGAGCTCTTTAGATGACTTGGGGGGAAAAAAAAAAAAGCTCAAGCACATAGACAAACAAAACAAAACAGAATTGAGTGTACCACCAAATGAGAGTCACCCAACTATTTGGATACAACCAATACTGACTTTGTGATAATATAGGTGGGGTCTAAATTTGAGTTACATATTTTATAAATATGTACATTTCTTAAGTAACTCTTACTGGAGAAGGTGAATGTTTATTAAAGAACACAGAGCCGTTTTGAAACCCTTTTGTATATACTCATAGACACATATATACAACTAACACACGAAATACATATACGAACAGGATTCATAAGGGTGGTTGCTTGTTGCAATCCATCAGCCCAGTCACCTAATTTGCCACTATTTGTGTCTGTGTGTTTACACACACATTTCTTGTACAATATTCAGACTGACCTCCCCACCTGAATTCAAATTAATGAGATTTTTCTAGACGGATCAGAGTGACTCAAAATATAAAGAAATTCTTCACTCATTGGTCAAGTAACAAACTGACTTTTGGCGCTGAACTTGATCTAAGCTTACCCATCCCCCACCTTCATTTTTTTTCTTTTTAAAACAAACTTTATCCATAACACAGTAGGCAGGGCTATCAAAGTCTTCTAGTAGAATACTGTACTGGTCTTTTGCTTGCTAAACCAGAATGGTCCTAGGCTGGCTTCCAGCAATTTTCGTTCCTTGAGCTAGATACATAAATGCAGCCCCAAAGGCATTCTTTTAAAAAAAAGCATATTTAAAATTAAACTGTACTTAACACTTAAATTCTATGCCGCCCAACCTCTCACCAAAAAAACCCACGTACCTGAATAAAACTGAATTCCCTCCAGTTTAAAGCATTGCTCACTGACGGGATAGAGGTGACTGCCAGGAGGGACAGTAAGCCAAGGCTCATTATGCCAAAGGAGATATACATTTCAATTCTCCAAACTTCTTCCTCGTTCCAAGAGTTTTCAATATTTGCATGAACCTAATGAGAGTAAATGTGAATTTCCTCTATTTGGCAGAATATTCACAGATTCAGCACAGTTCACTCTTGGCATAAGAATACATCATATATAGACATATTTAAGCTGTATTTTTTCAATTTAACAGACTGGGATGGAGAACCTATTACCGGATGGTATTGTGCCAGATGTGGGGAAAAGAGAAGGGAGAGTTAAATAAAAGGAGGACTAAGAGTCTCTCTTTCCTTGCATACATGCGAGGGGGTGGGTAAATCTGCCACCTACGCTGTCATACATCACAGTTACAGGGAGTCTGGAGTCCCAAGACCAGGAATGCCAAGTGGTTGGTTCCAAGGTGACATAAAAAAAGTACTGGCAGTTAGACTTAGTTTTGAGGTACTTTTCTAAGTTGGTTTAAACTCGGTTGACTATTTTGGGTACATCCTGGCTTTAGATCAACTTAGAATCCAGGAAGAGAATTTCTAAATTATGTATCTCTTTTTCTCACTTGAAGAATATTTGTATGTAATTTATTTCTTTTTTCTTACTTTCTTTTCCTCAGGAAGCTGAGATTTCCCTATGGATAAAGTGAGACTGAACGCAAACATTTATTCTCTTGAATTGCCTCACTGCTATGCTTTTCCAACTGTCCTATTGCCTCATTCTTCTATAGTACTTTTCCAAATGTCTTTTCCTTACATTGATAATACATATATAATCAGGTCAGACTTGATTAACTCTGAATGTGTGGTATTCTCTATAGGGACTACTTTCAGAATTGTCTGTTTACATGTAAACAATATAATTAGAGTATAAATCAAAGGTTGGACTCCCTGGGCTAAAGCTTTGATTTAAATAACTATCGATTCATGGATAACAGATTCTAACTTAACATAGTTTAACTCTGTCCAGTTCCAGTTAACCAAACAAACTTGGAATTTAAAAAAAAAGAAAAGTTAGTTCTGAGCCTTAGGCCCCTGGAACAATCATACCAACATCCCGAAAAAAGCCACAGAGCTCCTCTGTGGAAAAAGGCTCTTATTATCTTGTTTGATGTCTACACAACAATACAGAACAGCAACATACCTCGGTAGACCCAGAGCTTACAACCTGCACCTACCCGGCCTCCCAGTTCATTCATTCGTCCCACAGATAGACTTCGTGAGCACCTTACTAGGTGCCAGGCACAGTTCTAGGCATTAGGCATCTATCAGTGAACAAAGCAGACAAAGGTCCCTCCTCTCATGAACTTACATTCCGATGAACTTACTTGCTGATAAAGTCATGTTGAGAAACAAGTGTCTCTCTGACCTTCTCACTGGTAAGCAGTTTATTGTACATACAATAAACAAGAAAAACATAAAGTGTATCAGGAGGTGGTAAACGCTATTGAAAAAAGTGAAAGTAGAGCAGAGTAGAAGGGCCTCAGGGAGGGGGAAGGTAAGGGCTAAGGCAGAAGGAGCTTGAAGAATTTAAGATGGTGTCCAGGCTCGGCCTCCGTGAGGGGCTGAGATCTGTGCAAACAACTCCATGCCCAGTGAGGGGGCTGGTGGAGCAGTTATCAAAGCCTTCGTATTCAGTTAAGAGAAGAAGGGTTTTACAGAGACAATGGCTTAAAGAACATCAATTTACTAATTTTTTTCACATTATTTTAGGTTGAAACTGTTGAAATAGGCCTAAGTACCAAGCGCTACATACTTGGATCATGATGCCTTGGTTCCTTATGAAATGCAAAAGCTCCCATTTGTTTTGGTGCAGTGTCCTCGCTGTCACTGGTAAATGCTACATCAAACAGCATCAGTGAAACCCCTCATGTTACATTTGCTGAATGGGAATCATTGAGGAAACTCATACTCGGCTCCATCATCAAGCTCCTTGCATGAAGCTTTGTGAGATTTTCATTCAGAGCTGAGTGCTATAAAGGTTCGCGTCAGGAACTAAAGCTTCACCTGAGTGATTTCCTCCTCTTTTTGATAACAAAAGCCTTGTATATGTATGCCTCCTGATCTTGGCTTCCTATTCTGTTTTGTATTTTCAGTGGTTCTAATTTTATCGCATATGTTTACTGAGAATTGCCTTATCATTTCACAGAACACGGCCAAATTAAACATTGAAATAACTGTTTAATGCTAAAAGCAATCATTGCAGTCATAACAAAAAAAAAGGAATGAAAAAACCTACTAACCCTTTATTTCTGTTCTTATTCTTCAAAGAAAGGGATAGCAGCAGCTTTTAGCCTAAATGATTTTGAATCGGCCACATAATTCTTATACAGAAACACTGTATAAAGAACAAATTCTTTCCCCTCCCTAAATATGCCAAAATTTCCATCACAAGGTCTGTAAAATTTGACACTATTTTAAATCTCACATTTTACAGATTATACTGATAAGGTATTTTACTAGTATCTGATGAATAACAAGCATGTTCCATACCTGCTGATAAGCCATGTTGAGAAACAAGTACCGCTCTGACCTTCTCATTGGTAAGCAGAGGCTGTAGGCAACATGGACCGAAGCGAAGAAAAAACTTAGTAATCCAAGCTGCTTTCTGCACTGTAACCAGGTCTCCAACCAAGGTGGAAATTTCCTATACTTGGTGCCATAATAAAGCTGATAAGCAGCTCCCAGGAGACCTGCTAGGTATACCAGGGACAGCAAAGTAATGGCAACTATGGGCAAGGTTTTATTCACAATCTCAATAGGAATCTTGTAAAAATCACTCTGCTGGTTTCTAGCATATGGATGTATCACATCTCTGATGAAGGAATAAAGAAAGAAAAACGTGGCTAGGCTAATGGCGGCTACCACTGGCCCTCTCCAGAGAGTAAAGAGTCGCAGGGGTAAATTTTCAATCTCCCTGGCTGATGATAATGATCCCAAGTCAACAGGAATGAAATTCAGCTGACGGGCAAGTTCAATAACCTGTTGTCGAGCTTGAATATTGTTGCTGCATATATAGACCTGCGGCAAAAACAAAAGACTCATCAGTACTATTGTTTATAAAAATGGTGACGTTCACAAGGTCCACTTCACGTATGGAGCATGTGATGACCTCGAGTGATGCAAAAAGTTGAGATAAAGCATTTATTAACATATTTATTTATTAATAGGTTAAAACAGTGTCATAGAAACAACAAAGTCCTTGCTACCTGTGATGACATGAAAATAAAATGCAGGAAAAACCGGCTGGAACCTGGGATTGGGGCATCTGCAGGGGAAGGAAGGAGGAGGAAAGAAAGGTTTCTAGAACGTGTGGTTCAGTAGCGGCAAGGTAAGGTCTAGGTGGAGTTCAGGGTAGGGTGGGCTCCCCAGGCTTCCGAGGACAATACCTTATTCTAAGACTGCAGTGATTCTGTCTAGTTAGAGGGATTACAAGCGCTGTCCTTTACAGACATTCAGCAAGAGAGAAGATGGGCATGGACTTTGGATGGTTGAATTTGCAATTAAAAATCTCTAACATATGTCACAATGCTGTACTATTTGTAAAATTTATCTTTGGCTTAGAAACCGATTCACCAGGTTATCTAAAAAACCATGAATAATCTCAAGTTATTATATTGCTTCATTGATCAGAATATGAAATTCTTTCATCTGTAAATAAGGATACTATACCTGTGTGGGGAAAAAATGGTATTATAAGGCTTAATTTAAACGGTAAAGCAACTGCCATTATCTAAGATTAAGGTGTTACTTCTATATAATGAAGTGACGGGTGGGGGTGAGGTTGGACTTTCAAACTACCTAAACCTCTTAGAAATATTACTGTAGTTGAAAATTCAACAAATACTTGTTGAGCACAAATTCATTGCTGAAGTGAGCCACCCTTACTTATGGGTAGGTCAACTCACTCAGGGCTCGAAAAATATTGCCATAAAGTCTCTGGGTAATGTTTGGGGAAAACAAATTCCTAAATATATCCCTGAAGATGTTTATATAAGGTCTCTGGAACAGACCACACTGAAATATTTGCATGGTAAAATCTGCATTATGCTGACAATGTAGAGCTCTTTGGATTATTAATCTTACCTAACGTTAGCCAGATGAATAACAAAGTCTATATTATTACACAAATTTTCATGAACTTCTAAAGTGGAGTGGGGAAGAATACCCATATTCCAAAGAAATAAAGAAAAGCATTCTAAATTAATTTATTACAGCTGTGACAATGCTGACCTTTTTTTATTTCTTGTAAAAAAAAAAAAACAAACCCTGTAATAAAATTTAACTATAAATATAACCTATAAACTGTAACATTTAAATTGAAATAAACTTAAAATTCATTTAATTTACAAACCTAAATGTATAAATCAAACATTCATAACAAAGGCAGGACTATGGAATACAAATGAAACTACTTCTGTAGCTCACTTTGAATTCAATTCCATATTTTTTGTAGTTCGTATTTTTTGTAGTTGTTAAAGAATTAAAATTACCACAATTATGGGCAAAGGATTAAATTTAGGTTTATCCCTAGTTTGTTTGGTATGTATCCATTCCTAAACTTTGATGGATATCCAAAAGAAAAAAGGATTTAGAAAGTATATAATCTTTTACTAGTCTTCCAAATTAAAGATTTGAAAGTGAATGGTTATCACGGTGATACAATACTTGAATTCATTTTCTAAGACACTGAATCTAAGGCATGAACTGTCTTTATGAACAAAAATAATGAAAGTACTTTATCATCATGCTCACCTCTAATGCATAACACCTTTTTTTTTTTTTTAAAGATTTTATTTATTTATTTGACAGAGAGAGAG